GGGAAAAAGCGGGTTGGCAGGAAAAGAAAGAAGTCAAAAAATGCCGCTAATGATCGAAAGGCTTAGGCAGCTTGGTGAAAAATGGGATGTAGGGCTTGCGAATGCGATAATCTAAAGATCTGCAAGCGATCTCCGCAAAGTTAAATTGGCTAACTTATTAAACAACAAACCGCGAGAAACTTCTCGAAAAAAAATCAAAGATGCTCAGCTTACCCTTTTTCAGGCTCTTCGATTGACTTTTTGGATTTCGCGCGACCGGCTGCTGCCAATTGGAGCGTTTTGGAATGTACAGGGTGCGTCAAAAAAAAAAAAGCCAAGTTTGCACCAAAATATCTCGCTTATCTTTGAGAATCGAAGGTACGTTACCATGCCAGAATGCTTAAATATGCTGGGTATGAAGATTTAACACAACTTGATTTTTTCGATTTTTGAGTACGAAACTGTACTATTGACGCTGATTACGACCGAAAATTGTGCGTTCTTGAACGGGTGGTGGGAAAATTCTGATTTTGGGCCTATAAATAGTTGACATTGGTAGAAAAATAATAGCAAAGTCTTAGAATTTTTGAAGGTTTAGTTCTTTTTTTACAGGCAAAACAAATTTCCCTATTTTGCTTATTTTTACTTTTTAATTCGCAACTCCCTTCAAATACGCTGCCCATGGCTGATCTTTTGCAATTAGTGTCTCCGAATGATAATCTTTAGCACAACACCAAATTTTACCTGATTCTATGGTATTTTATATTGCTTGCTAAAACGTGCCCCAGAGGGATACTGTAGTTTTTGTTTTTCGCGTTTTTCTTTTTATGGTAAGCTGCGATTTCGCTTAAAATTTTATCATTGGTAAACACCAGTAAGGGTCACCTATGGGCTAAATATCGCGAAGTTCTAGCCATATACCTTCCCAAAATATGCAAAAACTTATTTTTGAATTTAGCCACGGAAATTTCTAAATATTTTGATGCATCGGACTGAAAACTACTATTATTTGTTTTCCTGACAGATCGAAACGTTTCTATGGTGAAAAGAGCGAGAAAAGAGCGATTTTCTGTTTTCTACCGTAACCCGCCTGGAGCGCGTTTTAGCATGCCAAGAAAAAATTCCATAAAGTGCCGATTTTTCAACTTTAGAATGTTCTCTGGCTGATTATGAGAACGCAGGCAAAAAATGACTTACTTTCTGTGGTAAATGACAAAGTTATGAGGGAAAGTGGATAACCCTCTTCAGGGCCCGATTTTGGACCCGAGGCCTCGGGCCGAAAATCGACTTTTTGAAAATGGAAAGGGCACCGGGGTTTGGTGGATACAATTAAAGCACGCATCGAACGGTGCATGAGAGCAGAATACTGGAATGATCTGGCTGAAGTTAATGGTTGATTTTGATTTCAAACCCGAAAATAACGTTTTTTGAAAAGCCGACTATGAAAAGGTTTTTTATTTCCGTGGGTTCTAGTTAACTACCCAAGCTTAGTCTATGCCAGAAAAGTCGGGGCTACTCAAGCCTCGAGAATTTTTTTACGTCGCCTCGAATTCGGGTATATTTGGACTCTTCATGAATTTCTTTGAGAGATCGGATGGCCCAATAAATTTGTAAATATGATTTTAGAACGCGCCCATTAAGTAGTATTAAATAAAATTATGACAATAATTCTAGCCGCGCAATTGAATTTTATAGATTGGCACGAAGGTCTGCGAAATAGCACGAACCAACCGTTTTGGAGGCGCTAAAAAGCAGCCTTCCAAATGGGTACGGTAGCTAGAAATTGTCTACGTGATAGATGGACCCCAGTCCTACACAGCCAAGCAAAGCAAACACCGAAATTCTATCTGCAGTTTTAGAAATATTTTTTCCAAAGTTCAGTTTCGTGACCTCGGAGAGAATCCAGACCAGGGGGTCCTCGAAAACCTCAAAAATCCGCGGATCTGAAAAATTTTTTTTTATATTTTTGCGGGATTGTATCGAGTCTATAGACATGCTAAAACAGCTTATTTTGAGGTTTCCACCATAGGTTTTTGCAATCTTTGCAATTTACGAAATTTCTCCATATTAAATTTGAGCATGCTATAACTTGCCAACCAGACCTTCGAAAATTCCAAAATTCCGGATGTGCGTAGGGGTAGTCCTTAGGTACCCACATTGTAAAAATTGGACGTGTTCGACCACCAGCAATCCAAAAAAATGCAAACGAAGTTTTGCCGGAACGCACATTTTTCGGGTGTCATTTGTATTGATACGTCGCCAAAAATCGAAAAAATCAAGTTGTGTTAAATCTTCATACCCAGCATATTTAAGCATTCTGGCATGGTAACGTACCTACGATTCTCAAAGATAAGCGAGATATTTTGGTGCAAACTTGGCTTTTTTTTTGACGCACCCTGTACTTCTTACAAAGTTTGTAACTTCAGAAAAATCTTATAAACTTGTAATGAAGACAATGTAGGTATTATTTACAAAACTAAAAAATGTAACGCAGGTTTGTATTTTTTGCAAAACTAAAAAATGTCCAAAATATTTATTATCGAAAATCGACCATCGGCGACTTTTGGTACAGCGAAAAAACAGCAATGGGGATCCCGTTTGGCTTTTTCGATTCGCGTCTTCGGCGTTTTTTAGATTCCGGGTGATTGTAGTAGACGATCACCATTCTAAATAATATTTTTGATTTATTTAACCCTACAAAGTTACCCAGTAATCAACAACCAAATCTCCGGGAACAGCTCCCAGGCGGCGAACATCGATAAGTCATCAAAAGTCCCAAAAATAATATTTCCCCAGACTTCTTCAAAAAGAACCGCTAACGAGAGCGCGTGTAATGTGATCATCTAAGAAAAACACATTGGGATCACATGCCAAAAACCCACCTGCAGTGCATACTTCACGTCTGCGTGTTTTTGGTTCCCGTTATCGTAGGCCTGAGGTGAGGACTTCAGGTTAATGATGTAGTGGACTTACCGCATAAGCCGAGTATCGTTTTAGCGTGAAAATATCGACCAGTAGCGCCAGGATACAGGTGTACTTTACCACCACTTCGAAGGTACTTGCAAGTCGGTATGGGGTGTAGGCTACAACGATTATATTTTGGGCGTAGTAGTTGGTGTCGAAGAAGAAGCCCGTGTAGATGAAGGTGGAGTTGTTGAGGTCGGTGAGGGGTTCTGAAAATACGTTATAAATCTATACAAAAAAAATTTTGTATTGTTCTAGAAAGGCCTAGTAACTTAATAACAAGTGCTTTAAAAGGCCATCCGCGAGCCACTCGAACAGGTTCTATTATGAAGTTTAATAAAGTTGACTTATTTGACGTTGTCCGAAAGAGCATGGTCGATGTGAGTAGCATTGTTTTGAGAATCTTAAAAGTCTGATGTTAAAGGCCGTTGAAGGGATGTCGAAAGCATCGGTAACGAGGAATTCGCCTGCGTATGCCTTAGACGCCTGATCATTTCTCAATCACATCACGAAACAAATGAACATGTACTGACGATATCCGAGACTGATCCGAATCGTCAAAGTTCACCGAAAGCAGCAGAGAGATGCACATATGTGTACATCGATGCATGTAGTCAGCTTACTCGGAAACCAGCCTCCTTGCTACAACGCGTTTTACGCCAAAACGCGCCAAAAATGGCCTCAAAATACAAAATCTCCGATTTGAGAAATAAAGACAACAGATGCATCCAGAAGATTTGACTGAAGCGATTGCAAAAAAGAGCAAAAAGAAATTAGCCTTCTTTCAATGTCGCGGAATCGAACCCGGACCCTCCGCCTGGGAGCCCCGTGGCGCAATGAGTAGAGCGTCGGCGTGCCAATCCGGAGCCGGCCCGGGTTGAATCCCAGCCCCTCTCAGAAGCCGAATTTCTTTTTGCTCTTTTTTGCAATCGCTTCAGCTCGTCTTCTAGATGCGAGCTGTTGTCTTTATTTCTCCAAATCGGAGATTTTGTATTTTTGGGGGCCATTTTTGGCGCGTTTTTGGCGTATAAAACGCGTTGTAGCAAGAGGAGGGGAGCTGGTTTCCGGGTAAACGACACATGCATCGACGTAAAAAAATATGGCGCATCTTTCTACGCTACTTTCATGGAGCGCAGAAAAGGCCGTTTTTTATGGATTCCGAGAAAACCATCTCGAGTACGTGATTTAACCATGTTCCGCTCATTTTTGTGTTTCGCGATGTATTAGAAAAATGATCAGCGTCTAAAATCAGGCATACACACCAATTTTGAGCAAATTCCCTCCAGTCACTTTCGAGATAATTTTTCGACATCGGCAACTTTAACGGCCGATTTAACCCCGAAATTAAACTTTTAAAATTCTCAAAATAGTGCAACTCTATTAATTCGACCATGCTCTTTCAGATGGCGTCAAAAAAATAGGGTCGAAAAAAACTGTGCCAAGCCTTGTTCGGCTGGCTCGCAAACGGCC